CAAAAGCAACTTAATACAAATGATTTAAAGGGGAGAGAGGAAATAAAAAACTCTGTAAATTTTTTCTGCTCTCCACCTCTAACTTTGCATTTTATGAGTGTTTCACATACAGCGACGATATATATATATATATATTAAATGCTTTTGTCTTATAGACGAAGCAATTCATCTAAGAGACTTAATGACAAAATAACCAATCATCTATCACTATTCATCTTATAGTATGATCTGAAAAACTTCTCTCTTGAATAACGTTTTTGTTTGCTATCATTAAAACTTATAATCTAAAGGATCCAAGATTATCTTTGACCTAAACAAAGATTACAAAAAAACAAAGAGTTTGTGTGATACGATCCAATCCATGGAAAGAAAGTTTTCAACCCTTTCCGATAATTAGCTCATCAATCAACACACGAAATGTAAGAACGAATTAATCGATGAATGAATAAGAATGTGGAATAGATAAGGAATGAAAAATAGAACAATCACAATAGATTGATGAGTTGATAAAATTTCGTCACATAGGTGATTTCCTTTTATAAGAATTAAGTTCTTTTATAAGAACCGGGAGAAGAAATTCTCTTTAAAGATAATAATCTTATTCAATTGACTTCTAAAAGTATTGTACATGTGTTAGGAAACACTTATATTTACAAAATGTGTCTTAAGAAATGTATTAGATACTTTAAAGCTTCTCAAATAAGCTTTAACAATATTTGGCGCACAAAAAAATTCAAAACCACAACTCAATTCGTAACAAATTCGTTGGGCTGAGAAAACGTGACTAGGGGAATTTTGCACAAAACTAAAACAAGGATCACATACTCAAATTTAGTTGGGCCAAAAAAATGTGGCTGAGTGAAATTTGCACCAAACCAAAACAAGGTTCAAAAACACAGAATTTCGCTTAGTCATAAATTTATGGTTGGGCAAATTTCATTGGACAGAGAATGCATGGCTGGGTGAAATTTACGTAGAGCCAAAAGCAAGATTTTTACAAAATTCAAAATTTATTCTAAATGTTGGCTCCATTTCTTCATTCAATTAAATGTTGATCTTCCTTTCCTAGCCCTCCAAGGTTATCAAAGGTAATCTAAAAATGATCTTCAAGTTCTTTCTTGACTAATCGTTCTTGAATCATATCATTACGTCAATTAAAAGAACAACTCAAAACAAATTCAAAAAGATATCTCTTCCCGCACAAAAAATGAGGAAAAACTTATTGGCATAGATAAATATAAATTACTACCTAGTCAAATAGAGACACATGATTTTCATAGTCTTTTAACTTTTAACTTATATTTTTTTATTTTAATTTTTGATCTTTCAAATCATTCACAAACTTTCTATTGATATCTTTTATATTCTATTTTTTTTTTTAAATTTTGAATTTGTTGTATTCTTCCTCCATAAAATGTTTTATAATTTAGTAATCCATTATTTTTTTTGTCACATGTATTCATTAAGTTCACTAGGTTAAAGAATGATTTCACTTATAATTATGACTACCATTGACTTGAAGAGTTTTCACACATGGTACATATTGAATATGGATTCTGTTAAATAAAATTGTATTCATTACATATAAACACATAATACTTAATCACTACGCTGACACATCAAATTTAGTAATTCCTTATTTCACATAACAATAGAATTTCACATAACAATAAAAGTAATAAGTTAATTAAAACAAAATAAAAGTTGAAAATTTTAATTAAAAAATAAAATACAAATGAGTATTATCTTGTAATTAACAACCGTAAAAGAGTTTAATAAATTACTTAGCTCCTTTATTATGGTATCTTTCACTTCACAATCTTTCTAAGATTATAACATCTTGTTATACGGCTAAGATGTTTAATTGAGAATTATTATGATATCCACAAAAGTCCTAATTATTTTATTTTCACTTTTATTTTTAAACATGGAGGTACATATTTTCTCTTTTTCATCTCATAAAACCTCATGGAATGTGTTCGAACAATTTCGATATTTATATTATATTAAGAGTTAATCACTTATGCATTGTTAGTGTCAGTATAAAGTTTTTTTAACAATAACATGACAAAATTAACAGATATAATTAATTATCAGTGTAAAACAACTTTACACTGATACCGATAGTATATAGATAATTAACTTTTAATATAATATAAATATCGAAGTTGTTCAATAGTTACGGCCTTGCGGGTGAAAAGTCGAAGACATTCGGAGGTTTTATGAGATGAAGAAAATGAGAGGGAATTGAATGAACATGAAACTTAAACAACTACGTTGCGATGAGGAGGCAAGGGCAACCTTCGCGTCGTGCACCAAAAGTGTTATTCCGCGTAAACTTCCTGCAAAACCTTTATTCTCATTCAATTAGTTATTTTCCCTTTGCGTTTAGTCGTGATCCCAATTACGTATTCATTGATTTAACAGCACAAACCAGACTCAGACGAAAGCATTTCTGGTACTTTTCCTCAACTTCGATTTTCCATCTTATTCTTACTGCAACAGGGGAATGTTTCTTACTTAATTAACTGCCAGATGAAGACGACGACGTTTTCCCCAACATTGTGCTTCCATTAGACTCCACCATCACTAGCAAGGTCCACACCCAAGCTTGTTTTGCTTTATGAATGAATCTATGATAGTGACAATATGAAAATCCAATCACAATCTTTTTTGTGTTATTGTTTGTAATAGCAAGAATTGCCACTTCCGGTGCGGCTGGACATTCTAAAAGGTGCCCCAACTAACTGTTTTAGTTGCTATTAAGAGTTGTTTGGATAAACTTCTCTATAAGCTCGGTAGAAAAAAATAGGAAGAAAAAATGAAAAATAGTTCTGGGTAAGCTAAAATTAGTTTATACATGAGATAATTTGTAATAGCTTATGTATAAGCTAATTTTAACTTGTGGGAAAATTTATTTCATTTTTTTTTCTTATTTTTTTTTCTACCAGAAGAGCTTCTGGAAAAGTTTATCCAAACAGACCCTAAAATTGCTTTTTAGTTAGTTATTGGTTATTAATTCTGAGAAGGGTACTACACAGGAATCAGTAATCAGAATTTTTCTGGGAAAGGCAGCAGTTCTTCATTTGAGGCATGTGCTACTTATTCCAATAGTTTTTTATGGAGAAATGCAAGTAACTGATCGATGTTCTTATCGTTGGAATTGCTGTGATCAGAAACCGCTTGAAGATGAGGTTGAAATGCCAGACTTCAATGAGGCCTACATCCCGGGGGAGGTGGTTGCCAATTCAACCGATGAGGAAACAAATTCTGCAGATGGGGTACTCATTAAAGTTAGCATAGAATGTTTCTCTTTAGATCTCTAAGCCATCTATTGAGTATTGAGTGAAAACATCAATTTGGTCACTCAAGTGAAATTGGTATCACTGATGTCAGTTCATTTTGGGGACCACATTTAGAGTAAATAATCTAATTTTAATCCTTGAAATATGTTGCATTTGTCACATTAGTCCTTGCATGATGAAAATTGTGCTTGATCCTAACTGCGCATTTCTTAAGTCAAATTAGTCCCCACTTCAGGAATCTTGGGGACTAATTTGATTGACAGAATGCTCATTCAAGGACTAATTGACAGAATGCACATCCACGAGTATATTTTTCTTAATTAGGGACTAATATGATTGACTTCAATGTGTATCTTTGAGGAACAAATTTGATTATTGACTCTATTTTATTTACTTATTAAAGGATAACACTTTCCTATCAACCAGACAGCTCCACAAGTATGGTCCACAATCTATCAGAAATGAAGAAGTTAAAGATGCAACCACAATTTCTAAAGCATTGTTACGTTCCAAAGAAAGTGCTTCAGCATCCCATGCTACCTGCTCCAAAGCAAATATATCTGGTATGAGCTCCAAAGAAAATACATTTTTTTTTTCTGGATTAGAGCATGAATTACTTACAATTCTCTGTGGGTAAATGATAATTGTTGTTAGTAGGATATCTTGCAGAACCTTTTAATCTTTCAGATTTCTTGATTATCCTGTGTCATCCCTAAACTGTACAGGCTTCAAGTTTTTGTAATACCATTCAGCATTTATTTTTTTCTCTTTGCTACATTTCATGTGTGTAAAATGATGTATACGGAATGAAAAAGGACATCTGTTGTTATGAATACATTCTATCAGAAGTTGGATTTATGAGCTCCTCTCCTCGCTCCTAATTTGTAACTGATGAGACAACTGAAGTCTAGGCCACTGGTTGTCACCTTAAGTATGTTCTGTGCAACCATAAGCATCCATATGGAGAACTAACTGATAGATTTTTCATGTTTTTTGATCGGGGCCTTGATTTGTTGCTTTCCTTGCAATAATTTTACTAAACATCAGTTGTGTTGTGGCTGATCTTTTTCCCCCTTTTTGGTCTGCACTTTGTATAATTTTAACAATTCTAATTTCCAAATAAGAATATAAACTTTTGCGGTCTAAGTTTTATGTTTCTTTAGAAATATCCTGTATGGATTTGGAATCTCAGATTTTTTCTTCCCCAGCTAAAGGGAGAGGCACATGGAAATACTGTCTGTTTGAGCCTAATAATTTGCTCATGTCCTTTTTTACTATTTTCTTTACTTGAATATGAATAATTTCTTATTATTGAATCTAAATGGGTACAATAAAATAAATAGGCATAAAATATAATCAATCCCTAAAGTTTAGGGATTTAGATAAAACTGACTAAGGAAATTAAACTAGAAATTAGGAGAAGATAAACTAGTATATCTAAACTATATCTTATAGAATTATCTTAACACTCCCCCTCAAGCTGGAGCATATATATCATATGCATCTAGCTCGTTACATATATATGTTATCCTAGGACCTCGTAAAGATTTAGTAAAGATATCTACAAGTTGATCCTTGGAGCAAACTGAGGAGGTCTTGATGATACCGGAGATGATCTTTTCTCTGATGAAATGGCAGTCAACCTCTATATGCTTTGTTCTCTCATGAAAAACTGGATTAGAGGAGAGGTATAAAGCTGACTGGTTATCACAAACTAGTTCCATATGACCAACCTTGCAAAACTGTAACTCTTGAATTAAGAATTTTAGCCACAAGAGCTCACATGTGGTGTGAGCCATAGCACGATATTCTGCTTCTGTACTTGATCGTGCAACAACACTTTGCTTTTTACTCTTCCATGAGACAAGATTACCACCCATGAAGACACAATAGCCTGATGTTGACCGCCTATCACTTGCATCACCTGCCCAATCTGCATCTGAATATCCAACAATGTTTGTATGTCCTCTATCATTGTAAACAAGTCCTTTTTCGGGTAATCTTTTGATGTATCTAAGGATTCGAACAACTGCAAGCCAATGACTCTCACAGGGAGAGTTAAGAAACTGACTTACAACACTGACAGGAAAGGATATATCAGGTCTGGTCATGGTGAGATAATTCAATTTTCTCACTAATCTCCAATATCTCCCTGGGTCAGGATAAGGCTCTCCCTAATTAGGCATAAGCTTCACATTAGGATCCATGGGAGTGTCAACTGGCTTACAATCTGTAAGTCCGGTCTTTTCTAGAATATCAAGGGCATATTTTTTCTGAGAAATAGCAATACCGGACTTTGACTGAGTGACCTCAATCCCGAGAAAATAACGTAGGGGGCCTAAATCCTTAGTTTGAAAGTGTTTAAATAAGTGTTGCTTCAAAGCCTTGATGCCCTCCTGATCATCACCTGTAATCACAATATCATCTACATAAACAACAAGATAGATAAATCTATGTGTCGATGAGCGTCTAAAGAAGACAGAGTGGTCTGTCTCGCAACGGATCATTCCAAATTCCTGTATAACTTTGCTAAACCGACCAAACCAAGCACGAGGTGATTGTTTGAGGCCATACAAGGACTTTTGTAATTTACATACAAGACCAGACCCCCCTTGAGCAACAAACCCAGGAGGTTGATCCATATAAATCTCCTCCTCCAAATCACCATGTAAGAAGGCATTTTTGATGTCTAATTGAAACAAAGGCCAATGCCTCATAGCAGCCATAGCTAAGAAGAGACGAACTGAGGCCATCTTCGCAACTGGAGAGAAGGTGTCGCTGTAATCCAAACCATATACTTGCGTGTATCCCTTAGCCACAAGACGAGCTTTCAATCTATCCACCTGTCCATCAGGGCCCACTTTAACATTAAATACCCACCGACAACCAACAACAGATTTTCCAGGCGGAGGTGGGACAAGTACCCAAGTGTGGTTGGAGTCTAAAGCTGTCATCTCATCAATCATTGCTTGTCGCCATCCTGGATGGGTTAAGGCCTCCTGTACTGTCTTGGGAATGGTAATAGAGGAAATAGCAGAGACAAAAGCATAATAGGTAGGAGACAAACGATGATATGAAAGAAAGTTATAAATAGGATGAGGATTACAAGTAGAACGACTACCTTTACGAAGAGCAATGGGCAAGTCAACTGAGGTAGGTGGGGCCGGAGTAGGTGAGGAGACTGAAGCAGGAGTAGAATCACATGGCTCAATTGAAGAATCATTGGGAGGAACAACAGTATGTGATCGACGCTCATAGGTTATCCCAAATCGGTGTAGAGGATGGTCAGACCCTGGTAGTGCGGGAGGATCTGGTGCCTCTAAAGTAGCAGGTGTGGTAGGAGGCACACTATGATCAAAATGAGGAATAGGCAATACCTGAGAGAGGAGATCTGAGTCAACCGGAGAGACATCTGTGACAATAAAATATGGTGTATCTTCAAAGAAAGTGACATCTGCACTGGTGTAAAATCGATGCGTAGCAGGAGAGTAACAACGATACCCCTTTTGGACACGGGAGTATCCTAAGAACACACATTTGATGGCCCGAGCAGACAACTTAGCACGTCCTGAGAAAAGGTTATGGACAAAACAAGTACAGCCAAAGACACAAGGATGAATAGAATAAAGGGGATCCAATGGGTATAATAGGGAATGAGGTACTTGATCATTCAAGACAGACGATGACATTCAATTTATTAAATACCCTGTAGTGAGGACAACATCGCCCCACAACTTTGGGGGTGCATTGACATTCAATAAAAGAGTACGAGCAGTGTCCACAATATGACTATGTTTTCGCTCTGCTACACCATTTTGTTGAGGTGTATGAGGGCAACTAGATTGAACTTTGGGGCCAACGGCGTCGACGACGCTGGAAAAGTCGGAGCCCAGGATGAATGGCACTCAAATGTCGTTTAGGGTTTTCTAATTTCACAGAAAAATGAGAGACGCTGGAAGTGGAAGAGGGACGCGCGCGGGTTTAAGAGAGAAAAATAATATTTAAGCGGGAAAATATTATTTAATTAGAAGAGGTTAAAAAACCTCCGTAATTAAGGAAAGAATGTTTACCAGATGAAGAAGATAGTATTGAGTTGAGTGAAAAACTGCAACAAATGAAGGAGGGTAAATTATTGAAAGGAAGAGAGAAGAAGAGGGAAGTGGAGAAGGGAAGAAGCAAGAAGAGTTGGAGTTGGACCAGTTGCAGGGGTTTCAGTTGTGAAACAGACAAAGTGAAAGGTGCCACGGATTATGATCACCTCAATGAATACAAGACAAAAATCTTAACCATATTCCGGTTTTTCATATTTCTCATAAATGGCAAGTGAACCTCAAGAAGAAAAAAATTATTTTAAGAAAACTTTCCCTACAAGAGGAGGAAGAGGAGTAGTACAATATCAAGCATGCCATATTGTGGAGACTGGAGACACTGGGTTGCTCAATATGTCAAGTTACATCTTAATGAAGTTGCAAAAAATTCCCCAGAACATTTTCTCTACCCATAACGGCCAAAAAGAGCCCCTCCCCGTCACTTAAAACATCATGTAACATATAATAATTCATTATTCTAATTCTCTTTTCCTTATTTAAGGCAGGTGGGATATATACATATGTGCAAACAACACAAGTACACAACAATGAATCACAGACAAATTTCAATCACAAAGAAAACCAGAAACATACATAACATGCAACAGTACCAAAATAGAACAAAGTGTCTGTTGAGGTCAGTATTCAAGCAGGTATATAAGAATATAAATAAATAAATAAAAACTAAATAGAGAAAAATCTTAGAATAAACCTCAAGAGCGGCTTTTCCTGATCCTTCACAAGAGCGATACAGTTTAAGAACCTAACATAAGTTACACAACCAAACGAGAAGTTAGACAACTATATTCAATGAACATTTCTTTACAACCAAATTCCAAAAGCATTTCGCATTTTAGCAATTACCTCGTGAGCGCGTCCTGGAAGCAAAACATCCACGTGAGAAGTGCCAAACGCCACAATAAGTGCCCCAGCAGAAACCAGATCACAACCTTGGGGCACTCGAAACCTTCAAAGGAAACAACTTCATTAACAATTTTCTAGAAAGCATCTTCAAAAGGTAGAGGAAGTGGAAACTCACAAATGGGACTGATCAACGACGATGAACTCAGCGAAGGTACCGAGGCCGGCGAAGGCGCAAACGGGGTCGCCGACTCGAAAGTCAGAAACTTTGGGGCCAACGGCGTCGACGACGCTGGAAAAGTCGGAGCCCAGGATGAATGGCACTCAAATGTCGTTTAGGGTTTTCTAATTTCACAGAAAAATGAGAGACGCTGGAAGTGGAAGAGGGACGCGCGCGGGTTTAAGAGAGAAAAATAATATTTAAGCGGGAAAATCGAGATACAATTTGATAATCTGCCCGTTGCCATTCATTTCTCACCTCTTTATCAACTTCGGACGCCCTTTTAGTAAGATGATCATAGAGACCCTGACCTAAAAACCACATTTCAACCGCAGTGGACCAATCCAAATAAATTTTACCATTAAGCTTTTCAGATGTAATAGTAGGTGATCCAGAAAAGGCAAAGGAGACCAGCCCCTTTTTGGAAGACTCAATTTTTGGATTCTCCTTAGGAATCTCTGCCATGAAGAGAAAAAGAAGAAAAAAACAGCAAACAATCAGCCACGAAACTCCGAGGTAGCAACCAATCAACCACGGAACTCTGAGGTAGCAACCAAACCACCACGGCCCGAGACAGCAACTAAACAGCCACGGAACTCCGAGACAGCAACCAAACAACCAAGGAACTTCGAGACAACAACCAAACGACCACGAACAAACCACCTAGAGTGTGACCCACAACCTGAAAAGGGCCAAAACGAGAAGAGGGAGGGCCGGTGAGTCCAACGGAGTGAACCGCGTCGTAAACGGAGGCTGGGAGGGCGGCGCGTGAAGCCCACGCGCCGGCGAGCTTCCTTAGTCAGTTTTATCTAAATTCCTAAACTTTAGGGATTGATTATATTTTATGCCTATTTATTTTATTGTACCCATTCAGATTCAATAATAAGAAATTATTCATATTCAAGTTGATATCAGAGCCTTTTGGGGAGTTTTTAACATCAGGGAGCACTCCACACAATGGGTAGTGAGTAAGTCACACAAGTGAGCTTGACACCACAACATATCCTAAAACCTTAAGGCATTAGGTAGATGGGTCTTTCTCACTTATATGTTACTCAACATGTCCAACTCTAACCAATGTGGGACTTCACTTCACACTTGAACTCCAACACTCCCCCTCAAGTGTGAATCCCTTCCACATGGTCACGCTCCCCCTCAAGCGGAAGCTTTTCTTTCATACATGAGTATTCAATGGTGGCCTTACTTGCACTACCGTTGCACTTCAACGACACATGTCCTCCACACCTCTAGGGAGACTTTCAGTACAAGGATGATCCTACTCTTGGATCTCCTGCCAATTCCATTCAAGATACCCCTCTTGGACCCAGCCAATACTCGTCTGAGCCGATCACCAGTCATTTGGTCGAACCATCGGCTCTGATATCACTTTTGGGGAGTTTTTAACATCAGGGAGCACTCCACACAATGGGTAGTGAGTAAGTCACACAAGTGAGCTTGACACCACAACATATCCTAAAACCTTAAGACATTAGGTAGATGGGTCTTTCTCAGTTATATGTTACTCAACATGTCCAACTCTAACCAATGTGGGACTTCACTTCACACTTGAACTCCAACATCTTTTTTGGGTAACAATATCCTTTTTACTATTTATTTATTTGTGTTTTCTGAAAATGGAGGTCATGGAATACATCATATGTTTCTAGATGGAGTAGGACACCATTTTTGCAAATATTTTCATATGTTGACAGATAAATGAAATTCTTTTGTAGCGTCTGGATGCATCTTAATATGGTGGACTTTGGACATAATTTTTGTGCCCTGCAGAATTTTTTTCTTATTGGAGATCTCACATCAATTAGTAGAATGACAAAAATAGTGTATATAAGTGAGAAACAATCCTCACTTTACAAGTTGGTATTATAGGATTAAGTTAAGTTCAAATCTACTTTTTTAAGATGATATCATAATTTATCCTAAAGATTATTGATTATTGTTAGACTTATCAGGCCACCCACTATCGGGTCATTATCAAACAACTGGAGATGTCTAATCTTGCAAACTTCACGTTTGAGATGTCCAATCCTTGGCATGTGGGGTGTGTGTTGGAGATCCAATGTTGACTAGTGGTATGGCCAAAATAGTGCATTTAAGTAGGGGAACAATCCTCACCTTACAAGTTAGCATTGTAGTGTTGAGTAAAGCTTAAATCCACTTTCATAATATTTTTCTTTGCCAGTGTTATAGTTTCTGGATGCATATTAATATGGGTGGACGGTGGACATAATTGTTGTTCCATGCAGAACCTTTTTCTTTTTGCTAGTGTTATAGTGTATCTAGCTTTAAGTGTTCTTCACCAGGATAACAATAACTACTACAATTTCTGAAGGTTAATACCTGAAGTATTCTACCAAGTTGATAACTATTGCAGGGATTTTGAAAACTAAGCCAAGATTTTCATTGCCATCAGTTTCACATAAATTTGGGAGCATTGGTCCTTCAATCTCCAAGATTGAGAGCTTGCCTGAAATTATCAAAGCTGTTGATTCTAGGACTTGTGCGAATGTAAATGGAAATTATCTTGATGATGATGATCAAATTGAAATTAATTCAGACATTGAGCTTGCTGAAACAGAAGCTGTTCCATATGGATTTAATCTGGCCACAATGGATGATCTTTTTGACAACCTCCAAGATAAGGCTGATCAGGTTGGTAGTAATTTAGAAATGCTTCCCATACTCTTTGACCTATCTATTTATTTCTTTACTGTATGAGATCTTTCTTGCTTCCACATTCCAATATTTTCCACATGATTGTCAAAAAAGTGGAAATATGATGTAGCTTTTTCAGAAACGTAGTAGATCCCCCTTGCTGAAGACAGTCATTGACAGTGAAGATTCCCCTGAGCCTGTGGATAGTGGGTCATCTAGCGACAATGAGGTATATAACTATATATAATATATGCACTATGATTGCTCATGTGGTTTTTAGTTTATTTTCATGATTTTCTCAACATCTACTTATTTCAGGTAAATGATCAACAAATGAAAATTTTACCTGGAAAGAAAATGCAAACCATGGCAGAACGATTTGAAGAAGCTTTAGGGACATCCTCTGTTATCACTGAAGGGCCTCATGTTGGAGCACTTAATTCCTTGAGGTATAAAATAGTAGTAGATTCCTGGTATTTTTATGCGATTAAAAAATGAATTTGAATTAATTCTGATTTCAGTGCCTGATTTATCTTGCAAATTCTGCAGAGCTACAATATCTGGAAAACTACAGCAGATGATGCTGAAAGAAAAAGAATCAGACATGGAGTTCTGGAGAAAGTTACAAGCTGGAGCCAAGCCAGATAGTAAATCTTTTGCTTTTACTTTCTCTACGGTTTTCATTCTTATCTAAGTAAAACACCATTTAAGACTTCTTTCATTACTGAAACAATCATTTGGCAACAGTTTTTGTTTTGTTTTGTTTTTTTTTGTTTGTTTCCCCTCTTTTTTTTTTTGCGGCAGATGGATGTGCATAAAGTAGAGCACGAACCTGATTTTACATACACACTAAGTGGTTTATGTTTTTTATTTTACTTATACTGTAAAATTCCCAGGTGAACCTGGCTGCATTGATGTAAAAATCATTTCAAGATACCACGATGGAAAGCTGACTGTTTGTCATTGCTCATTAGGCAAGTACACAGAGGTGAGGTGTAGTTTTGAAAATCAACTTATTTTAACTGAAATTTGAACTTCAAAGATTGCTTTAGATGCTTATTATTGCCACTGAAGTTTTATACTTTATGCTCAAGATAAAGTTTGAATGTCCTAAAATGCGTGAACTATTTGACACTAAAGAGAATTTTATTGATATATGTTTTGCATTTAAAAAACTTTTTTCTTTAAATTCTTTTTTTCATTTATTTTATTTAGTTTTAGTGATTAAAATTGGAAATTTTAAAAAACCTTAAGTAGCTAAATTCCTGAATGACTACTTGATTATCAATCTAATTTTTATTTCTTTAAGGTATTAAGAAAAAAATATGTGAATGGTTTTTATGAATAGTTTATATGGTGAGAACTGGGAAAACACCCAACACCTCTATTGCATGATTACAAATCCTAGTGGGATAAAGCTTTTGTTGTTGGTGTTGCTAATGCTGCATGGTTGGCAGGGTTGGAAATGAGTCAAGTTGAGTTGAACTCGATTTAGTCCAGTTCAACTTGATAATATTTGGCTCAGTTTGCAATTTGATTCTAGATTGACATGAGCCTTTTTTTAAGGTCAACCTCGACTTAGTTCAAACTCACTAGCAGCTTGTTAGCTCAAATCATATGAACCAAGAGTCAATGTTTTTTTTTTAATCTTATACATTTCAAAATTTTAATTTAATAATGACTTTACATAAAATAATTGTTTAATTTTTTTAGAGACAAAACATAACTTATTCTACTAGCTTTACAAGGTTATAAGGTGTGCCTCTGGAGAAACATAATTATAATTACAACCAAAGAATGTATAAATAAAAAGAACTACACTTTGCATAAAATAATAAAAAACCTAATTCATTATCATGAAATTCTAAAGTGTTCACTTCTTCATTTATTAATAATTTATAACTAAGTTTTGAATGTTTTTTCAAATTTTAATAAAGATGAAATTAATAGAAAGTTAATTATATAATGTTAGGAACAACAAAACGTCTTTTACGCATAAGGATGAGAGAATACAATCAAGCCAACACCATAAAAGAAAATAGAAAAGGATCACACAAAACTTTGTTTAACATGGTTCAACCCTTCATAATTACATCCACAAGGATGTTTATTATTTCAAAATGTATTACATATATGTTCCTGAAAATTCTTCTTTGAAGTTTTGTAAGTGAAGCTTGAAAACCCCTCCCTTACAAGTTTTATGAGTGGAACTTGAAAATCTTTCTCTCACAAGTTTTATGGGTAAAACTTGGAAATCTTTCTTTCACAAGTTTTTAGGCGAAACTTAGAAACCTTCCTTCATATGACCCCCTCTCTCATTTAAGGCAGTGATCCCCTCCATAGGTTGAGTGATTCTTCTCATTTCAAGAATCTATTTATTGACCTTACATCCTAATCTTAAAAGAGAAAACAAATCTTTCGAATAAATATAACATATTTCAATTATAAATAATATCCTAAAATAATCAATATCTTTTAAAATCTAAATAGTATCTCAGAGATTTGAATTGTTTTTCCAATATATAAATTATATATTTATATGTTGAGACGATTCATTAATCAAACCAATCGAACTATATATAACTTAAGTTTCATTTATTTATCAAGCTCTTTTGCTCAATTTTAGTTCGTTTGGTTCATAGATCAAGTTCAACGAATTAATTATCAACACAAGTTTCAAATTATTTTCGAGTTGGTTCGGTCATTATCACCCCTAATGATTACATATAAGAACGTTACTTGTATAGGGGGAGAATCACGGTGGTCTCTTGGAAAAGATAGGATTAGCTTTTATTCCATTTGATTTATATTTCATCACTTCTTCACGCGGTGTGATATGATCACTTTGCTTGAAATGGAATGACCACGTGCATTTAAGACATACTCAATATTTAGTGTTCATCTCAAAATTGATGGAAAGTGATAGGTTGTTTTTGCAGAATTTTCTGTCACAAGATAACCCCAAAGAAATGGAATTTGGTGGCCGTGAAACCCGTCAAAACACCATTATCTTTAGTTCAAGGGTTTGCAACAATGTTGACCTTGAAGTTGGGAACTTGATCCGACTTCACCCTCCATGGTAAGATTTTAAAATTTCCATTTTCTTTGTTTATATTGAATTGAGCGGAGATTAACTTATACTTGCCATGAATTGCAAGTGTTTTTTCTTGATCTCTTTTGGTTTTGGTTCTTGGACAGGAAGGAAGTTCAAGTGGGAAATGATAATATTATCTTGTGCACTTATTTCTCCGAAATTTTATTCCCAGGTTGATTTACTGTTATCACAGCTGACTATCTACAGGTGGCATGTTCATTTTAGTTTCTTACAAACCAAGGAAAATTATGCAAACCACCGTTTGGTGGTGGATAGAATATGAAACAATTATGTTGCTGGTCTGCTTTAGGAACTAGGAAAGGGATAGCTATTCTTTCTTTTGACTCATGAGTCAAGGGACCTTGAGAATAGATTCTCTCAATTGAGATTTTCACTTAGATTCTCTGAAGTGAAAATCCCCACATTCAAATTTAAATTCTCCCTCTGTTTTTAATTAAAGGGTTGAGATTTCACTTGGACAATAATCTCACACGAGTGAATCTAAACCCAGGGACCTCTGAGTTATTGTACTACTGGTGTTAAAGTTCATTGTAGAGAAAAAATAGAGGGATTGCCTAATGCTTTTTTTTAACCTGATATTGATACAATTAGAAGGTATTTATAGACAAGATTAAGCTAGCTCACTGTATTAAGTTACAGTTGTAGTTGGTATAGTTTGGTCTTGATAAGGAAAATTCTGCTCATGAAACTCAACATCTCTTGATATATAGATCTTTCCATCAAGTGACAAGCATTTATAGCCTGAGTTGTAGAATAGCCTATGAAGACAATTCTTGAGATCTATATTGAAGTTTGTTTTTGTTATACGGTCTAAGGAAGGGAAAGAAACACAACCAAAAACTTTAAGCTGTTTATAGTCAGGGAGCTAACCAAAGAGTTTGTGATATGGTATATTAAATTGCGAGGTTGATGTGAGAAGTCTGTTGATAAGATAGACACTAATAGCAAAGGCATGATCCCAAAATTTGAAAGGAAGGAATGACTGATCTAAGAGAGTAGGACCAAGTTCAACAACATGCTTATGTTTTCTCTCAACAACACCATTTTGGTGATGTATGTGAGGACATATAATCCTATGTTGAATTCCATTTGCATGTAGATAATTGGAAAAAGGTCTATACTCCCCACCCCAATCAGTTTGGACAACTTTAATAGAAGTTTGAAATTGTTTTTCAACAAGTTGAAGTTGTTTGAAAACATGCATTGTTTCAAATTTTTTTTTAAAGAAATATAGCTAGGTAAATCTTGTATAGGCATCAACAAAAGCTACATAGTAAGTGTATCCTCCTATGGAAGTAAAAGGAGTAGGACTCCAAAGTTCTAAATATATCAATTCTAATCTATGTAGCACGGATTCGAACATAACACAAACACATATATAAACACAAGGATATGACAAAATCAAAAAACATAGGACATGTGGACACAACACACACACACACATATATAATATAATATAAATAACATGACAAAAAAAATTATATATTGATATGACAATAATTTACTAAGTCTAAAAAAAATTATTAAGAGCATTATAGTTCACAACAAAAAATCTAACAAAAACCATCATAATAAAGAGTCATGAAAAAACAAATACTATGGGAAATCATCATTGTTGGTCATCATCATTGAAAAACATGGCTTCTAAATATGGTTCATCAGTAGACAACTTAGCAATTTCAAGAATTTTATCATCATCAAGAGAACCAAATTCATTGTTTGCAATGTCCCACATTTTAGTCTCTTCTTGATTATACTGTGAGAATTTCTAGAAAGGAGGTAGAGATTGCTATGAACAGATACTAGATCTTGTACTCTAAGATGTCATCTTATTTCTTTTCAAAGAATGTATGAAAGAATATATGGTCCAATTTCTTTCATAACGTGAAGTTGAACACATTTGTTCAAGTAGCTTAAGGGCAATCTTTTGAAGTGTTGGTGCATGAACACCATGAATTAGCCACCAAGATTTTGCATCAATTTGACCTCTATCCCTTAAAGAGTCAACATCATCAAAGCCTTCTCTTCCATTGATAAATTTGTAAACTCCAAATTTACTTGTCTCAGTTACATTCACATTGACAAAGTACCTTTTAAAGCATTTGTTCCTTTCAATAGTAAGTTCCACATCTTGATGTTAGGGGAGTCTATGTGAATCTTCATTCAGCCATTCATGACCATAATATCTACAATATTAAAAAATAATTATAAATTAATATAACCAATTTATTAAAATGCATGTAAAAAAAAAAAACTTTGAAAATAAAATAATTAAGGATGCAATGTATTACCTTGGGTTTGAGCTAGACAATGAATAGGCGTGTTACTCTTAGTCCAATGGTCCATTAATATTGAGTACCCTACCTTATAGAAGGGTGAATCTTCAACTTCTTCCTTTATTTCATGTCAGTATATGATTTTTCTCACTTTTTTGATCATTGAATCCCACATTTTATACACCAAGTGAAGAGAAGTTGTATCTATATCAAATTTTCTAAGAATCTCATAGATAGGATTAGTGAAAGCAGCTGTATAATCAACTTTGTCCCACTAAATACCATCCAGCAAAGTTTCTTTCACAAGTTTTTTTCTTGTCAACATCATCCTTTGTAAAAAGATGATTAATCACCGATGACCATCTCTTGGAAGTCCCTTTTTTTAATTTTCTAAACCTCCTAAGCATTACTATGGTTGAAGCAAATTTTGTTTAGAGTAATAGAAAGCAACTTTAATGTGTTGAAATTGTTTAACGTTGATAATCTCATAGAATGTTCCATGGCAAAGTTCTTAATATAAGATGCATCATTTGCAATTTGTGTGATCCAAGAGCATTGTTCATAAACAACACTGTTTCTTTCAGTGTTCTTGGTTGCACATATATTCTTAAGTGCAAGGTTCAAGGTGTGCACTACACAAGGAGCTCAATATATGGAACGAAATTCTGCCTTTATGAACAAACCTACTGCCTTACATACAACTAGGTTATCAATCACAATTTGCACCACATTTGATGACCAAACCTCCATAATTACATCTCTCATGTGTTTAGCAATGAAATCCTTGTCTTTTATCACTAGAGCAATTTATTGCCTTTTAAAACATTGGTTCACTCTCGGTGATAGCCATGAATTGATAAGAGGTTGTCTTTTCACCCATTACTAACAATGCTCACACCTTTCTAACTCTGAATTTATTATTGGTTGCAATAGGTTCTCCATATGGTTTATTTCCTTTGTAAGTAAGGTAGTTCTCAACTTATTGTAACTTGGTGGTTGATACTTGCTAAGATTAGAAGTATTGGCAACATAGTGAAATGCCTTCCTATAATGAGGATTCCTTGCTAAATTAAATGGTAGACCTGCAGAGTAAAACATCCTTGCAATCTCACAATCAAAAGTATCTCTTCATTGCACATTGAAAGAAGCTTCCAAATGACCTTTTACTTTTGAATTAGCACCAATGTTTGTATGTTGTCCTTCATTAGAGATAGGAGGCAAGGGAACACTTTTTTCTTTGAATTCTATGCTTTTTATGATGCCTCATTTTCCAGTTTTTTCAACTCAACAAGTGTTTCAGAAGTTATCTTTGAACATTGTCCAACACTAGTTCCTGAGATTTTTAGCAAGTGAGCCTTTACTCAAGTATAAAATCCATTAAATATGCAGGTATCCTCTTAACGAATACCCGCATGGATATAGGGACAGGTACGAGACAAATATTTATCTTGCAGGATAAGTAGTGGGGGGTTACTACCCGTATTTGTCCCATTGACATTCGTAAATGTGACAATCTAAAGGCGCATCCGTGCTTCCTTGATTCTAATGACTGAATATAAATAATTGAAGATATTATAGATGGAAGTTTGTGTGCATTCCCAAGACTACAAGAAGAACATAATTCAATCTATGTTGCACAGACACGGCATGAGACTGTCGTGACCCTAAATCAGACACTCTTTAGGGGCAGACAAGCCATGGACGCACATCGGACACTTCGACAGATTGTGTCTACACAAATTGGACACGTTTCCATCACAGACACCTACAAAATTAACGTGTCTCCACAAATTGACGTGTCTCCATTGCAGATACCTGCAAATGAACATGTCTTTATCTCGATATACTATTCGATATGTGGCTTTGAGATTTTTTTAAAAAAAGAATAAATCTCAATAAAAACAGAAACAAAGAAAGGATGATTTGAGATTTTTTTTTAAAAGAAGAAGAATAAATCTCAATAAAAGCAAAAACAAAAAGGGAGGATTTGAGTTTTTTTTTTTTTATTTTAAAAAAATCTCGATAAAAATAGAAACAAAGAAGGTAAGATTTGAGATTTTTTAAAGAAAAAAAAGAAAAAAATTGATAAAAATAGAAATAATGAAAATAATTATTTTATCTCTCCTTACTTAACTTTCACATAATAGAAAAGAAAAAATCAATGAAGGGAGGATTCAAGATTTAAAAAGAAAATTATGAATATGATATCTCTTAATAATTTTTTTTAAGACCTAGTAGGTTATTATTATATTAATATATTTTTTTTTATCATGTTATTAATATTATATATTATATATATTATGTGTCCACGTGTTTTATGTTTTTTTGATTTTTCTGTATCCTCATGTCCGTGTCCGTGTCGTGTCTCCGTATCGTGTCCGAATCTATGCTACATAGAATTCAATTGTATTTTTTTTATTTGAGGAATATTTAAATGTTTGAAAACAATATTCAAAACATATAAGCCATCTGGGCTAACACTCCTCTGCGTATGACTTGAAGAGGCTACAGATAAAATTGTTGTGTTTATAGTAGGATCTATTATGATATGACTTGAAGAGGCTGCAGTGTTTGGAATTTCTTTTAGCAAAGGTGAAAACTGATATAAGCCATCTGGACTAACACTCCTCTGAGTATGACTTCATTGATTGCATGTAATTTCACCACACAAAAAGGTTGGGTGAAATTCAAAATAAATATGATTATCCTTTAAAATTGACCTACACTCATAAGATTTTTAGTAATTTGAGATACAAAAACTAAATTCTTGAGAATAAGAGGAATTTGAGAATTAACAGGAGACATAAAGGAGGTCACACCTATAGATTGAATAGAAAGACCTTGACTATTTCCTATGAGGATTTCATTAGGTCCTTCAAACAATGCATTTTGCTATGTTTTGAGACATATTAGTAACATAATGAGTGGCTCTAGAGTCGGGATACCAGTTTCTATGATTGAAAGGTTGAGTCTTTGTGAGCATAGCTTGAGGACTTATTGTGCTGGCGAGATGAGGTAATTGTGATGAGGTGGTTGAATATATTGGAAAGAGTTGGTGTTTGGCCTTTAATAGTGATAAGTGGTCTAGGAATGGTGTAACAATTAAGGACTTGGATATTGTTGGTATATGAAGTTTGTAGGAAGCTGTGGAATAAAATTTCCTTCAAACCAATGATAGCAAACTAAAGATTCATGTCCATATTTGTGACGTACTTGACATTGTATGATAGAATAACAACCTCAACCGCCACGAACTCCACGATAACCATGACCACTTTGATTTGCATGACCACTG